CTTGTCTGAAGGTCGTGTAGGAAACTGCGGTGTTGGGGCTAAAGGCTACTAGCATTAGCAGGCCTTTGTAATCGACATGCGGTTTGGTCGCAGGACAAAGGTGAGCAAAACTCTTTWTTGCTTTCCATCTGGTTTACCGAACTGAACGATGTGGTGATCAGTGTTTGCTGCGGGCTAGGCTGTATGCGGGGGAGTTCAAACAGCCTTGCTAGGTGTTAGCGTTTGTTGAGATGTATAGTTTTATAATCAAAATTAGATATTGTTCACTTATAGTTTTATAATCAAAATTAGATATTGTTCACTTTTGCTTGTAGTTTATTCAGCAATATTTTTTGTTAATCAGCTGAAGTGTTACACATTTTATTCACTTATTATTATATAGACAAACTGTATGTCTTTCTCCTTTCTGTGAACTGCTGGAGAACTTGTGGATGTTGCTGCATCYCATGCATGAGATCATTGTCGCTTGGATTAATTTCGACAGCCCTTGAGAAACAGGATCCGGCTATCACACATCAGATGCTCATGAAGGCCGCAGCATCCATTGAAGGTAGTGCTCTTCTAACAGACACCTCTCTCCCACTGTTGAGATTCCGCAGAGTTGAGTGATAAGGACCTTTATCCGGTGTGGACCCCTGAAGGAGGGGTCCAAAGGGGGATTGTTAAGATGTATAGTTTTATAAACAAAATTAGATATTGTTCACTTACAGTTTTATAATCAAAATTAGATATTGTTCACTTTTGCTTGTAGTTTATTCAGCAGTGTTTTGTGTTAATCAGCTGAAGTGTTACACATTTTATTCACTTATTATTATATAGRCAAACTGTATGTMTTTCTCCTTTCTGTGAACTGCTGGAGAAAGAAGCAGAATTTGACAAGTGAGTTGAGAAGTTGCAGATAAGCTGAAGGAATTTGGGAGGGAGAACAGACTAAAACCAGTTTAGAATTCCTGGAGGAGGTATGTCATGGAGGAGGTATGTCATGTGTCTCTGGGTGAGGGTAGGATGTAAAATGAGCAGTAGCTCTCCTCTTCAGACAGACAATCTACCAGCCCTGGCTGAGTGCACCGGTTCATTTGAATCAGGTTGTAAAGGTTGTCTCTAAAATGTGCATTTATGCTTTTAAACAATTTTGTATTTTATCATAACTGTTATCTTTACATTTAATAAAGGGGGTTTGAACCTTAAAGTACTTGTATGATTTCACCTCAGTAACAGCTCGTGACAAAATCTGGAGGTCCCCACTGAGATATCTCCTGCGTTTGGACGTTATGGGGTGGAAGATTCCAGGACACTGATGCTCGGACGTCCTTAACAGAATCAGAAGGTGAGCAGACTACCTTTAAAGATCTGTGATTGGGCTTCTTATAGGCAAATTTGCTGTCAATGTGCTGGACTCCAGGGTTAAAGTAAAAGTAATATAAAAACTGAGAAACGCGCGTATTTAACAGTAAAGTGAGTTTTAAAGTACCGGCCAAGACCCAGACTCCAGATAAAAACGCAGTGGTCAGCAGCCTGTAGTTGACGGACACACAGATAAGGGGAAGTGGGGTTCTAGGGCGTCGTGGCCTGCTGCCAACTTCTGTGACCCGAGACTGAGTTAAACTGTAATCTCGCAGCGTTTTGTGTTCTGCCCAAAACAGTATCAATAACTGCTTATTAATTTGCCGTTTAAAATAAGTAGAGCGGAGTCTGGTGAGGTAGGTGTATATTACAGTGCCAAAAAATAGGCCAGAATACACCTGGTAAAAAAATAAAAGGTGCTGACTAGTTCAAACCCCCTTTTTAATAAAATACAGTGTTAAAATAAAAATACTCAATTAACAGTACAAACTAATTAGGAATAGAAAAACAGAGTCAGTAAAGAATATAGAGCTGGATCAAAGATAAAATAAAAAAAMCACAATACTCCAGAGTGCTTGTTAATTGCAGTAATAGTTGAAGATAATAACAATGATAATTATAATAGACRCCAACGCCAATTTCTATCGTCGCATGAAAGCAGAAACACGTTGGAATAATGCCAGAAAAGTCTGCGTGTATGGTTGCAATAAATGATTTAATTCTGAGCAACAGGCAAACAGGACTCAATCAGGAAGCCCTGTCAGCTTGTCGCTGACACGTCAGCGGACACAGCCAATAATATACACCATGATAACATCATATGACGTGCTTATAACCAATCACAGATCGCCTAATACAGTATACTGTCCAGCCTATCACAGGGCTCCCAGCTCAAAGAGTGTCTTATCAAACAAGAGAGGTCAGTC